GCTGTGGCTCAAGTGGTAGAGCGCTAGCCTTGAGCTGAAGAGCTGAGGGACAGCGCCCAGGCCCAGAGTTCAGGCCCCATGACTGGACCCAAAAAAAACAAAAAACAAAAAGATAAACTACTGATGCTCCCCTCCCTTCAGATTTAGGAATAGAGTATAAGGCAAAGAGAATTCTAAAATTCCCAACTTGCTGCACAACTTGGGAACCACGGCCCTGTGTAGGCACGACTGCCATTCAAGGAGTCCTTGTCCTTCATGACACTCATTGATGCCTTAAGTCTCTTCTAGTTTTACCACTAACTCATTAAAATGCCAGTGTCAAGAAATGGGGTTGGAGCTCAGTGGTGGAGCTCATGCTTAGCATGTATGAGGTCCTGGGTTCTCCCCAGCTCCAAAAGGTTAAGAATTAGCAAAAAGCCAATATTCCTGAACAGTTGTATATATTGTCCACCTACACGGGCACAGGGCAGTTCGTTGCCCTTGGAGTCCTTTACAATGTGATAAGGAGCGAAGTGCACAGCTGGGCAGGACTAGAGAGAAGGTGGAGCCGCACACACCAGCCTCTAAGTGGGAAGGATGACCAACACCCAACTACCTGCAGGTAGGCCTGTAAGAAAGGCCTGAGTGGAGGGGAGCAGGGTGTACCCCTTCACTTCTTGTGCCTCTCTAAGCTCTTCGGCTCCACTCAGAAACCTGTGACTTGAGGGGCACCTCTGGCAGAGCTCCATGCCAGGGTCCTGGGACCATTATGCTCAAACACCAGAGCAGAAGCATTTGGGTAGGCAAAGACCTCACCAGGCTGGGGAACTTGAGGCTGTGAGCACAGGGCTACACCTCCCTGTGCTTGAGGCAGTGAGCCAGGCCCTAACCAGGGCTGGGCTGGACCTGGTTTGTTCTGACCACGTATTTGTTCTTCAGTGCAATTAGCCATCCATAATGCTTACAGCTCTCCAGACTTGCAGCTTATCTTGAAAATGATAGCATGCTGGGTCCAGAGACTCCTCTTGGACTGGCCTTGCCTCACACAGTGGGGTTGGGGACACATGGCAGGGGCACCATTACCCAGTGTGTTCCCATGGCCTGCCTCGCTGGATGACCCGTCTGGTCCCCACGCAGGGGGTCCTAGTCAGCAGTAACTACCCCACGACCATGACATGTGTTGGTGGCCCTGTGTCATCAGGGACAGGGAATGAGACTCTGTCTCTGGTGGACAGCACAGGTACAGAGCACTAAAGGAACAGAAGAGGTAGCACCTCATGAGGTTCAGAACGGGGCATGGGAACCTGGAGTATCCATTAGAGAACATGTACAGGAATGGATTAGGGGAAGGAGCCTAGGGCCAACTGCCAGGGAGGGATGCCAAGCACCTCCACTAACCTGGGCTCTTTCTGGCAGGGGCTGGTCGTGGCCATCCTCTACTGCTTCCTCAACAGCGAGGTGAGTGTCCTGGGGTGCCACTGGTCTAGATGCACGAGCTTCTTGGAGAGGACAGTGGGGGGCGGGGGGGGGTCTTGGGGAAAAGACTGAGCAGCACTCTTGGGAGTCTAAGCTCAGCAGGAGCAGCAAGGTTAGCTGGTAGTGCGCATCAGGTGCTACCCCCATCCTGATTCAGCAAAACTGAATTCTCTGGGTCTGGTTGGGGCTTCTGAAAGTAGTTTTTGTTATTGTTCTTGTTGACTAGCTGTAACTGAGATTTGCACTCAAGGCCTCTCACTTAGGGCAGGTGCTATACCACTCTAGCCATGACCCCCAATCCTTTCTGCTTTATTTTTCAGAAGGCCTAGCGCTTTTGTCCTAGGGGCCAGCCTCTGTACTTGAAAGTGGGAGAAGGGATGGGGTCTAGGGGAGGTGGGAAGTCAAATGAAGAGAGGAAGTGGGGGTGCGAGGAATGCAGTCACAAAAGTCAGTGTACATCCTACAGAATGAAGAAATTGAGGAAAGGGGTAGAGTTTGGAGGGATGGGGAAGAATGATGAAAGGCATGACATTGAACTTTAAACTGTGGCTCAGGCCTATAATCCTAGCTACTCAGGAGGCTGGAATCTGAGAATCATGCTTAGAAACCAGCCTTGGCAGGAAGTCTATGAAACTCTTAACTCCAATTAAGCACCACAAAAGCCAGAAGTGCATGCTTAGAAACCAGCCTTGGCAGGAAGTCTGTGAAACTCTTTTTAAATTTTTTTTTGGGGGTCCGGTCGTGGGGCTTGAACTCTGGGCCTGGGCGCTGTCCCTCAGCTCTTCAGCTCAAGGCTAGCACTTTACCACTTGAGCCACGACGCCACTTCCGGCTTTTTTCTTTTTGCTTATGTGGTGCTGAAGAATCGAACCGAGAGCCTCATGCATGCAAGGCAAGCGCTCTACCACTGAGCCACCTTCCCAGCCCATCTGTGAAACTCTTATCTCCAATTAAGCACCACAAAAGCCAGAAGTGCATTTGTGGCTGGAATGGTAGAGTACTAGCTATGAGCACAAAAGATCAGGGACACTGCCCAGGCCCTGAGTTCAAGCCCCAGGACACAACAATAACAACAAAAAAGAAAAACAACCAACCAGGTGCCGGTGGCTCATGCTTATAATCCTAGCTACTCAGGAGGCTGAGATCTGAGGATCGTGGTTCAAAGCCAGCCCAGGGTAAAAAAAGTCCTGGTGAGACTCTGATCTCCAGTTAACCACCAGAAAATAGAAGTGACACTGTGGCTCAAGTAGTAGAGCCCAAGCCTTGAGCTGAAAAGCTCAAGGACAGCACCCAGGCCCAGGGTTCAAGTCCCATGACTGACCAAAAAATGCATAAAGATCCTATAACCTCTACCTCCCTAATAGCCTGTACAGCCTAATATCATGTACCACCATGCCCAGTTTTTTTGGTTTGGTTTTGTTCTTTTGTTCCTGAGTTTGAACTTAGGAACTGGGTGATCTCCCTTAGCTTTTTTCTTTAAGACTGGTGCTTTATCACTTGAGTGACTCGACTCCTCTTTCAACTTCTTGGTAGCAAATTGGAGATATCACATAGACATTCCTGCCCAGGTTGGCCTCAAACCATGATCCTCAGATCCCAGCCTCTGGACTAGCTAGGATTATAGGCCTGAGCCACTGGCACCTGGTTAGAAAGTATTTTTAACCTCATTTGGGGAACTGTTATCCATAGTTAAGTTCAGGAAACATGGGGAAAGAGCTTAGGCCTCAACTACAGCCCATGTTCCTGACAGCAGTGCTATACATTCCATAGGTGACTGGGTCTCTACACAACACTTGACCTGTCTTCCCATAAGAAGATTCAGAAGTAGTGACAGTAGCTCAGTCTCCTCAGGTCTCCAAATAGGTTGACAACTCCCTGGGGATTATGCACTCCCTTAGAGGACTCTTGATTTTTTTTTTCCAGTGCTGGGGTTTGAACTCAGGGCCTGGGCCTCTTTGTGCTTAGGGCTAGCGTTCTGCCATTTGAGCCACAGTCCCACTCCCAGATTTTTCTGAGTAGATTATTGGAGATAACAGTCTCACAGAATTTCCTGTCTGGTCTGACTTCAAACTGTGATCTCAGCCTCCTGAGTAGCTGGGATTACAGGTGAGAGCCACTGGCACTGGGCAGAACTCTGATTTTGCAGAGCCTTTGGATAATGTCACCCGACTGTAGGCCCACAGAAACAATCACTGTATGGCACATAAGTAAAGCCTCTGTAGCAGGTGGACACTCTGGTTTACAGCACTCATGTGGAAATTAGTCAAGCATCAAGCCTAGCCTCATAAATGTGGCTGTTCCAGTTAGAGATTGTGAAAGAAATGTCCATAAAACCACTCTCCAGCACCCCACATGAATTCTGAGCTGGCCTGGGTGTCTTCTTTGGAATGAGTACCCAGTTGTCCTGGCTACCAAGATGTTGTATGTGGATGTTTGGAGCTTGGAAGCTTGGAAAATAAAGCCAACTCCTTTCTTTGGGATGCTATGTGACAAGATGGCAGGTCCAAGTGCCCAAGGTCCTTGGTACCAACAGCACACAGGGATAGAAATTGTCAGTCAGAGTGCACTGTTGCTGAGGAAAGCAGGGGCCAGCTGAGCAATGGTATCAGGCCTGCCCTTGCCTACTGGCTGATGCTGACACCTGATCTTGGGCAGGTGCAGCTGGAAGTTCAGAAGAAGTGGCGACAGTGGCACCTGCAAGAGTTCCCGCTGCGCCCTGTAGCCCTCAGCTCCTCCTTCAGCAATGGCCCCATCCATGGCACCAAGAGTCAAAGCACCTGCAGGGCCAGTGTCATCTGAGACTGCGGCAGGACTGCCTAGGGTCAGAGGTCAAGCCAGGAGCTGGGAGGGCCAGGCATGCTACAGGACAGGTATCTTCCCAACAGCAGCCACCCTGTGCTCTCCAGTGACTGCATGCACCCCTCCTCTCAAGTGCAGGACTCCTCAGAAGCAAGCAGAAGGAACTTGGGGGCAGCATGGGGAGGACAAGGGCCCAGGACTTTGTGTATAGTGCTCTTCTGGGAAGGGCAGTGTAGGAGCTCCATGGTGGGCAGAAGAATAAATGGTGCCTGGGAAGAGATTTGGTCTGTCTTTGTCAAGTCTTTTTGCTCTGGAACACAAGAGGAGGAAAAATACTTGGGCTCACTTCCTGCAGGAGGCGGGGCAACTCTTGGCCCTGAGCTCACGGTTTCAGACACCGTGAGAATTCAAGGCCTCAGGCACATGCCATCTGTCAGCCCTGCAATTCACTGGTGTAGTAGCTCTCCCCAGAGCTTTCAAGGCCCAAGGTAAACTGATCTGATGCAGTCATGGGGACCCTAGCCTCTTGTAGAATCTCTGCATGGTGTGAGGCATATGGGGTGTGGGGGCGGGGAGAAGGTGGTATAGCAGGAAGTACTGCATGCTTCCACTGGCTGGGAAGGTGGCTCAGTGGTAGAGGGCTTGCCTTGCAAGCATGAGGGCCAGGGTTCGATTCCTCAGCACCACATAAGCAGAAAAAAAGCCACAAGTGGTGCTGTGGCTCAAGTGGTAGAGTGCTAGACTTGAGCTGAAAAGCTGAGGGACAGTGCCCAAGCCCAGAGTTCAGGCCCCACAACCAACCAACCAAAACCAAAAACAAAACAGCTTCATCAAGGCCCCAGGACTTGCCAAGCTACTCAGTAAAGAGGTGACAGTTTGTCCAGAGTCCTTACTGTAAAATACACATGCTTCCAGGCTAGAAAGGACTGGGGTCTGTCTCCCCTCCCTACTAAGCTCCTCAGAACTATGAATCTTACCCTTCACCCTGGCTGTGCATTCCCTGGCGTATCTGTGCTCCTTAGCTCCAATGGAGAATGAAAGAGGGCTAAATACTTACCGTTTTGCTTGGCATCAGTGGCTCATGCCTGTAATTCTAGCTACTCAGGAGTCTGAGATTTTAGAATCATGGTTTGAAATCAGCCCAGAGAGGCAAGTCCATGAGATTTATATCTCAAATTACCTACCAAAAGGCTAGAAATGGAGTTGTAGCTCAAGTGGTAGAGTGACAGCCTTGAGCAAAAAAATTTAAGGGACAGTTCCTAGATCCTGAATTTAAAGCCCCAGTACTGACACACATGCGCACACGCACACACGCACACACACACACAACTTATACCCTTTTACAAAAAACAAAAGCATTCTGTAGAGAAGCAGAGACACTCAGCTTAGAGAAAAAAGTATCTTGCTTAAGGGAGGGCAGTTCAGGTCCAGATTGAGTGACCTTATCTCTTATCTTTCCTGTCTACTGGCTGCAGACAAGGCTTACCCCTTTGTACTTTACAGACTTCTGCTGGCCCCATTCCCACCTAAGATACAGCCTATATGGACCAAGCAACCCTCACAACTTCTCAGGAGGGGATGTGGCTCAGTGGTAGTGGACTTGCCCAACATGCACATGGCTCTGGGTTCAAACCCCACCACCATGGGGGGGGAAAATCCTTCTCAGGTCATTCCCAGGAACTCTCTGCATCTTGGTGGCTCCATGTTGGCAACCTTAGACTCTCTACCTGGGAGGAGATAAAGAGGATTTGGGCATAATGGCACATATCTACAAGCTCAGCTATGTGAGGGGACTGGGAGTAATGACCAACCTACCCAACATATCAAGATACCAGCTCAAGAAAAAAAAAATCAGGTAGATATATATGGCCAGTCCAGGAACGAACGTTCAGTGAAAAAGCACAGAGACTAAAAAAATGTATCTATTTCTGGGCAGAAAAATGACTGGAAATATGGCAGTATGATGAATGACTATAGATCCGCAGTGAGGATGGAAATCTCCACCTGCCCAACTCCCTTCACCAACCCTCATCCCCAGGATGGCTGTTAATCATTATCCAAGGTCTGCCAGTTCCCATCACCCCCAGGGAGTTCAGCAGGTCCAGATACGTGCTCCTCGTAATGTGTTCTAGGATCAGAATTGGTACCCTGAGGCCATCTAACCCTTACAAAAGATAGATATGCACGTGCTCCTGTGTATACCCCCTGGCCTGGTATCAGAAATGAGCCAGGACCCACTGGAACAAGGGCTCAAGGAAGGATCTGGATCTGCTGGTAGAAGCTGGGGTTATCTGGGGCTTATGAGATCCCCATAAAGAGCAAGAGAGAACTCAAGCCAAATGATTTGAAAACCTATGAGCAAGATATTTAAAAGAATCTTGCTAAGTCAGGAAAATGTGCCAGCAGGCATTCCTTCAAGTGTGGAAATCTGAGGCACTGATTGGTCCCTGGTCTGGAGGAGGGTGATCCATTCTTGGCACCCTCAGGAGCCCATAGCCCACTACAGAGTCAATGAAACAGGTGTGAACTGTACTGGAGTGTGGCTAGCCTGGTTACCTGTAAACAGGTCTGCTTTCAAATCGATTCTACTCCAAGGAAGAAAACTCAAGAAAGGAGTTTTAAAATGTGTTCTTCTTTTAGAAACAACACCCTAGTAATTCGACTAAACCTCTGTAGATTGTGGCTACAGGAACACTCCTAGCTCCACAGAAGCCCCTGGACCGTTTCAAGTCGACCACCCAGAGCTTAGTGGCTAAGAGGAAAGCTTCAAAGTCACAGTTTCACTCAATCCCAGATGGAGGTCACAAGTTGGAGAGGTACCATCTTGATTACACTTTCTTGTAGAAGCCAAGGTCCCTGAGTGGGGTGCTGGGGGTGGGGGCTAGAATTTCCTTGGCTGGTCCCAGGGCTGGCTGAGGCTGTTGATATGAAGGCCACTGATAGCATTGAGGAAGAAGAGGAAGGAGGCCGTGAACTCACACCAGAACATCAGGGTGAAGCCAACGAGCGTGACCTGATTCCGGAGGAGAATCACGAAACTCAGGAGCCCCCCAGAGGAGAGGATGAAGGCGACCAGGAGAAGAAAGGAACCGATGGTCCACTTGCGGCGCGAGTAGATATCCTCACACACCTGAGACACCATGAGGAGCTCCAAGCCAAAGATGGCAGCTACCACAGCCATGGAGGCCACACTGCGGGCGAGGCCTAGGCCTATGGCCAGTCCTGGCACATGGGCCTGGCTCAAGTCTCTGAGGCATTGTGGTCCACTTTGGTTGGTAATGGTGCAGAAGTGCCACAGCCCAAAGAGGCGGTTGTCATCCAGCAGCCAGTAGCCATCGCAGATGGAGATGGAAGAAAGGACAACAGCCAAGGCGGTACATGCAATGATGAGGGTCCGGATAAAGGATTCAAAGAAGGACCGGTGGGGCCTCTTGAGGCCCAATGCCCTGTGAGCCTGAAAGACACCATGGGAAGCAGGATCGGTGAGAGCCTGTGTCACACTTCTCCAGGGAAGACCCCCAAACATGCCTTCCAACTCCCCGCTGGCTCTATTTTCTGCTCCCATCTCACAGGAAGCCTGGAACTGGTCATCTCTACCCCAATCTCCACCCCCATGCTGACCCACCTTTCTACCTGTATCCCCATTTGCAGTGAGTGTCCGGTGCTTACTAGGAACTGATTATTCTCTTACCATTCTTTATGTTCTCCACAATGGATGGAAAGCTCAAATTAGCCAGCAAACCTTGTCTGGCTCTAGTGACCTGAAGCAAGCAGTCTACCTTAGCTTCATTGTATACATAACAACAGTGCCTGGAAGGCAGGGCTCTGGGGCTGAACAGAGCCTGGAGACGTACTAGGCCTTGTAAAGGCCCCAGGACACAACCACCAGTTTTATCTCCACCCCAGCCCACTTGTTTATATCCTTTCTATAGTTGCTCTAGGACTGCAAGACATTATCTTGTTTTCCTGAGTACTGAAAATCCAGGTTTGTACCTTGCCCTTCAGCCTTGCTCGGGCTCTACCCCACCCACACCTGCTAAGGCAAAGTGTCTGCACCAGCAGTTTCTAGGCCTGGGAAAGTCACCTTGGTGTTCAGCCTGCAGTGCTGAGCACCCTAACCCTGCTAGTTTTCCAGTGAGTCCTGTCTCAGACCTGAGATGTCATGCAGGCTCTGCTCTCAATCCAATCCACTAAGCAAAGGAACTAGGACACTGAGGCAGACACACTGCCACTGCCACAAGCACTGCAAGATTTGTCTGCCTCCCTCTCCAGCTTTGCCTCCCTGTTCTCTCCCTACCACCTGGCTCAGGCCCCATATTAGCCCCTGCTGTATAGTTTCATGTCTGGACCTTTCTTCTCTTACAGCTCTGGCCACCTGCCAGAAGACTTTTTTTTTTGGTTTTGCGGGACTGGGGAATTGAATTCAGGGCATTGTGCTTGCTAAGCAGAAGCTCTACCACTTGAACCATGCTTCAAGTGCTTTTGCACTTTAGTTTTTTTTTTTTTTTTAAATCTAGGATGTTGTACTTTTGGACTTCAATTCTCTATCCTCCTATCTCTACCTCTCAAGTAGGTAGGATTATAAGTGTGTACCTCCAAGTCCGGCAATCCTTTTCTCCATTATTTAGGTCTGTTTAAAGTTACCATTTTAGTAAAGTGGGTCCTCTGCTTGTATTTTCCAACAGAGACCCCTGTTTTGCTTTCTGTACCTGTGGTGTGTATGCGTGAGTGTGCACATTTGAGCATGTGTGTACTAGTCTTGAGGCTTGAACTCAGGGCCTGGGTGCTATCCCTGAGGGTTTTTGTTTTTTTGCTCAATATTAGCATTCGGCTACCTGAGCCACAGCTCCACTTCTAGTTTTTGTGTGTGAGTGTGTGTGCTTAATTGAAGAGTCTCACAGACTTTCCTGCCTAGGTTGGTTTTGAACCCTGATCCTCAGATCTCAGCTTCTTGAGTAGCTAGGATTATAGGTAGATGCTCAGCTTCTACATACCATTTTGCCTGCAATTTGGAATGACATGATAGCTGCCTTTCTTGGACCAAGTCCTCTAGGAGAGCAAGGCTCCTATATCTAGACAGTACTTGGCACAGTGTCAGACCTTTGCATTCAGAAGGTACTTGAGGAAGAGCCATGAGATAAATGAAAGGTCAGATTTGCAACCTGTCATTTCCATCTGAAGCTTCCTGTAAATGGAGTCTCCTGCTTAGTTGTAAATTAAAGTATATACAAGAATAGAGAATGAGCAGGGCTTCGGTGGCTCATGCCTATAACCTTCACTACTCAGGAGGCTGAGATCAGAGGATCATGGTGTATATACAAGAAACAGTTACATCCTGGTTTGAGAGGTAAACGCAACAGTGGCTACTAGGGAACTAGGGTAATTGAGATCAGGGGCTATGGGCGCTCCCTACACTGAGTGCAAAGGAGTATTCCAAAGGTGACTTTCTCCTCTTCTGTGGGTCGAAAGGCAGAGCCTTGCACTAGAGACTAAGCAGGTTCTCCTTAGGCTGCCTGCCTACATTTCCACACATTCAAGCTACTTTCATTTCAATCCCAAGGACCCAAGAACAAGGAAACTTGTTGAAGTAGCATTCTTTTCCTCCTCCTTCTTCTGCCTGTACCTTGGGTTGAACTCAGGACCTTGTACTCTCCTTAATCTTTTTGTTGAAGGCTGGGGTTCTACCACTTGAACCACAGCTCTACTTCCAGATTTTTGGTAGCTAATTGGAAATAAAGAGTCTCACAATTTTTCCTGCTTGAGCTGACTTCAAACCATGATCCTCTGATCTCAGCCTCCTGAGTAGTGAAGGTTATAGGCATGAGCCACCGAAGCCCTGCTCATTCTCTATTCTTAAACCTTTAAGGTTGGTAGAGGAGAAAGCTCCATGAGAAAACTGAGTTATATGGAAGACAAGTGACTTGTCCAAGATCCCTTGCTCAAACTGAGTAAAGTTTGTGACAGCTGCTCAGACAGTAGAATCACGGGTGGAATCCAGTCAACTAGGAAATGCTGACTGAGGCCCTTTCCATATAGCCTTTGTGCTAGAGCTCAGTGTTACTGAAGAAGAAAGGATATGAGCCCAGATCACTGGCCACACCTTGGATCCAAGGCATACCTTGGATCTACATCTCCACTCAGGTGCTGGCATGACACCAAGAATACCTAGGCAGCAACACTCAGACAGGAGTGTGGGCTGTGCTGTCAAGTGGTGCCCAGATTCCTAGAAAGCTTCAGCACTGGGGAAGGCGGTGGGAAAAGCTGAGTGGAACACCTCAGTCCCCCTCCTCACTCCTGCTGCAACAGACCCACTACCAGCCGAAGGCATGGAGGTCTAGGAGTTTTCATTGCATTGTATGAGTTGGGGGAAAAAAATGAGGATCTATAGGTAAGAAATGAAGCAAAGGAAGCAGAAAATAGTGCATCTTCATCTCCTCTACAAACCAAGGAGGCCTTTGTCCTCAGGTGAGTTCTTAACCTATTTATTTGCCAAATTTTCTCATCTATAAATGAAGTTAGCCAGTTGCCAGTGGCTAACTCTTGCAATCCCAGCTACTCAGTAGGACAAGACCTAAAGATCAGATTCCAAACTAGCTGGGGCAGACAAACCTAAGAGACCTGTATCTTCAGTTTACCAGCAAAAGACTTATGGAAGTATGGTTCAAGTGATAGAGTACAATCCTTGAGAAGGGAATAAAAAAAAAAAAGCTAAAGGAGAAAGGAAGGCCCTGAGTTTATGCCTGAGTACTAGTGCAAAATAAATATAAATGAAGTTGGTAACACCAGTTTGAAAGTTGTGTCTACAAAGCACGTAGCAAGGAAATCCCTAAAGATATAGTCAGAGGTTGGGACAGTCCCGGCCTCAGAAGACAAGTTATAGGATCACAGGACCCAGAAACCTTTTGCCCCTACACATCACAACACTGACAAACAGGTACATCCTGTCCCTTCTTCAGCCCTGCCCATCCCAGGCCCAGACTGGACTTTAATCTCCAGGTCCAAAGACATCACACTGAGATCTGAAAGAAAAGAAAGCTGATCTCATTTCACCTTCCCCTCCGTCCCCACTCCTGCACCAAAACAGGGCTTCATTTCAATTCTCTGACCACCTATGAAACTCCAGGGGTTAAGTGAGATCTTGTACATAAAAGATGCATGACAAACGGGCAGCCCTCAGTTCTCAGGAGTGATTAATAATATCAGTAACAATGATACATATTGTTGTCTTCCTTCCAAACCACTGGACACCTTGTCCCTATTCTGCCAGGGCTTTCTTTGGTCACCTTTCAGTGACCAGGGCCTGAAATCATCTTCAGGGGGACAGAGAGGTAGGGACGAACAGCTCAGTGGAAAATGATTTTAAGGCAATCACTTAAGTCCACTAAGAGCACTGCTTTATAGTTTTGCTTCTCATCTGTGACCTTGAATGACCCCTATTGATGATGAAACAAAGATTCTTTGATGCTCTAAGGCTACTGAATGCAATGGCTTGATCCTTTCTGTCTGTCCCATAAACCAGGATCTCACCTGCTCCCCTTGGCCAACAGCATCCTCAAGGAGAAAACCTTGAGTACCTACTCATCCCCATCCCTAACACTGCCCCCCCAACACTCCCTTGCCAGGCCTGAGTCAGGACATCCTCTTCACTGTTAAGACTAAGTGCTGAAGAGTCAGGGCCCTGGCCTGCCCTTTTCAATCTGTCTGGACCACCCTGCTGGCAAGAGCCAGTCTTGTTTTTGGCTCTTATTATGTTTTGTGTTTATTTTTGCCAGTTGTAGAGCTTGAACTCAGGGCCTGGGCACTGTCCTTGAGTTTCTTTTGCTCAAGGCTAGCACTCTACCGCTTCAGCCACAGTGCCACTTACAGCTTTTTCTGTGTATGAGGTACTGAGGAATGGAACCCAGGGCTTCATGCATACTAGGCATGCACTCTACCACTATGCCACATTCCCAGCCCCTCAGCTCTTATTTTTAACACCCTCCCCTCACCTAGCAGTGGTGAGGGGTACCTATCTCCTAAAGTGGTGGGGATGAAGTTATTGCCAAAGTGCAAGTCCTTCCCGAAGGGGCAGTTCAACTCTCCCAGCCCGTTCACTTCTTCCCCTTCTTGAGCCACAAATTCCTTCTCTTCCCCAGAAGAAAACCTTGAAGCTTTCCCACCCCTAAATTTAAGACTCACTTCCCTTATCTACTCCAGGTTTATAGGTCTCCCTCCCGGAGGCAGAGACCACACCCAGGCCTAAATTCCAAGTCCCCAATCACCCCGGCCCAAAGCAGCAGCCCAGTCTGGACAAAGAAGGACATTCCTGCCCCACCCTAGCCTCTGGCTCTTGGCTGAAAAGGATAGTGCAGGGAAAGATTAGGTGGCTTTGGAGATATGAATCTGGGGTCTCAATCTTGATTTTGTCACTTGGCTGACCGCAAGAAGTGACTTCTGGGCCTCAGTTACCTCATCTATGAAATGGGTAAAGTTGGGCATGATGGCTCATTGGTGTAGTGTCAGACACACCATCCCAGCTACTTAGACAGAGGCTGAGGCAGGAGAATCCCTTGAGCCTAGGAGTTAGATCAATGTGAGCGATGTAGGAAGACCGCATCTCAGAACAATAATGATTAAAATAATAGTAGCAATAGTTGTGATAATAATAACAGACGGACAGAAGAGTACCTAACATTATCAGTATTATTAAGGGCTCCGAATATCCGAAGGCGAGGTGGAGGGGCCTCTCCTGCCTTGGGCACCGGGCGGGACAGGCGCGTGGCCGGTGGGTGAAGCGGCCAGCCGGGTGGGGCGCCGGGGCGGCGGGTGGCGGACGCGCGGCTCGCGCGCGGCGCTTCTACCGGGCAGGAAGGTGCAGGTTCCCGCCAACATCACCCCCTTCCCCGCGCGGGGAGAGCCCTTCCTCGGGGGCGTCGGGGCTCCCAGCGAGTCCGCCCGCTCGGCACCTCCAAAGCTGTTTGTGGGGCGCGGTCTTCCCAGTCCCCGGGCCCGGAAGCCGGCGCTTCCCGGCGGCGCGTCGGTTACATAAGCCCGGCCGCCTTGGCCGGGGCGCCCGCCGGCCGCGGGTCCGCCGTCGCCACCCCGACACCTCGTTTATTTTAAAGGCAGTCCAGACCAACAGGTCGCTGAGAAGCATCCAAGTCCTCCGGGGCCATGCTGGGGGGGGGGGTGCTGAGCCTCCGGGGGAGCCGGCTCCAGGAGAGCGGCACCGGGGCGGGGGAGGCGGGCGCCCCGGGATGCTCCCCCGCGCACCCTCCCGGGAACCCGAGGGTTCCAAGCAGGGGCCGGAGGAGGGGCTGGGCACGGAGGGGCACCGGCGCCCCGGGTGCAGGCTGGGTCTCGGAGGGTGCGGGGTCCCCGTCTCCCACCCTCCACGGTGGGCAGCGCCCCGGCCGGGCACCCCACGGGCCCCCCGAGCTACCTGCGCGGCGATGGCCGTCATGCTGCTCCGGTC